CTATATGGCAAGTGAATGCTGGACAATTTCCTCACAGATGAAGAGGAGACTTGAAGAGAAAACAAAAGAGAAATGTAATAAATCCTCCTATAAAATGCTGGAGTGATGAAGAGGAGACTGAACAAAAGAAAGAATGCTGAACTGTAATATCAATCCTCCTATATGGCAGTGAATGCTGGACAATTTCCTCACAGATGAAGAGGAGACTTGAAGCAAGAGAAACAAAAGAAAGAATGCTGAACTGCGAAGTAATATCAATCCTCCTATATGGAAGTGAATGCTGGACAATTTCAAATGAAAAGAGACTTGAAGCAAGAGAACTGCTGAACTGTGTAATATCAATCCTCCTATATGGCAGTGAATGCTGGACAATTTCCTCACAGATGAAGAGGAGACTTGAAGCAAGAGAAACAAAGAAAAGAATGCTGAACTGCTATGTAATATCAATCCTCCTATATGGAAGTGAATGCTGGACAATTCCTCATAGATGAAGAGTTGAATGAACTGCTATGAGAAACAAAAATCAATTCCTCATGGAAGTGAATGCTGAAGATTTCCTCACAGATGAAGAGGAGACTTGAAGAAGAAAACAAAGAAAAGAGTGCTGAACTGCTATGTAATATCAATCCTCCTATATGGCAGTGAATGCTGGACAATTTCCTCACAGATGAAGAGGAGAACTTGAATCCTCAAGAGAAACAAATGAAAAGAAGTGCTGAAACTGCTAAAAACTGCGAATAATCAATCCTCCTATATGGCAGTGAATGCTGACAATTTCCTCACAGATGAAGAGGAGACTTGAAGCAAGAGAAACAAAGAAAAGAGTGCTGAACTGTTATGTAATATCAATTATCCTATATGGCAGTGAATGCTGGACAATTTCCTCATAGATGAAGAGGAGACTTGAAGCAAGAGAAACAAAGAAAAAAGTGCTGAACTGCGATGTAATATCAATCCACCTATATGGGAAGTGAATGCTGGACAATTTCCTCACAGATGAAGAGGAGACTTGAAAGAGAAACAAAGAAAAAGTGCTGAAAATATGTGAACTTAACAATATATGAATGCTGGACAATTTCTCACAGATGAAGAGGAGACTTGAAGCAAGAGAAACAAAGAAAAGAGTGCTGAACTGCTATGTAATATGGCAGTGAATGCTGGACAATTTCCTCACAGATGAAGAGGAGACTTGAAGCAAGAGAAACAAAGAAAAAAGTGCTGAACTGCTAAAATCCTCCTATATGGCAGTGAATGCTGGACAATTTCCTCACAGATGAAGAGGAGACTTTTAGAAACAAAGAAAAGAGTGCTGAACTGCTATGTAATATCAATCCTCCTATATGGCAGTGAATGCTTTACAATTTCTCACAGATGAAGAGGAGACTTAATTTAAAGAAACAAAAGAAAAAGATTTGAACTGCTATAATATCAATTATCCTATATGGCAGTGAATGCTGGACAATTTCCTCAAGATGAAGAGGAGACTTGAAGGAAAAGAGTGCTGAACTGCTATGTAATATCAATCCTCCTATATGGCAGTGAATGCTGGACAATTTCCTCACAGATGAAGAGGAGACTTGAAGCAAGAGAAACAAAGAAAAGAGCTGTACTGCTATGTAATATCAATCCTCTATATGGCAGTGAATGCTGGACAATTTCCTCACAGATGAAGAGGAGACTTGAAGCAAGAGAAACAAAGAAAAGGTGCTGAACGTTTATCAATCCTCCTATATGGCAGTGAATGCTGGACAAATTTCCTCACAGATGAAGAGGAGACTTGAAGCAAGATTAACAAAGAAAAAGAGTGCTGAACTTTATAAACAATATCAATCCTCCTATATGGAAAATGCTGGACAATTTTCACTATGAGATTACTTGAAAGAGAAACAAAGAAAATGGACTTCTTTGTAATTCGATCCTAATGAATGCTGGACTTTCCTGAAGGACTTGAACCAGAGAAACAAAGAAAAAAGAGTTAAAAAATCATTTGGACAATTCTTTCTAAAAGGATACTGAAATTATGTGAGTAACGAAGTTCTAAAAAAATGAGAAGGACACTTATACTTAATATAAGAAAGAAACATTTGAAATTTATATGTCAAAAATGAGGAAAGAGGGCTCGGAAAATTTAACGCTAACCAGACATATTGAAGCCAATTAAAAGGAAATTTAACGTTTCTAAAGCAATTGGTTCGCGAAACTTTGATTAGCGGCGGGGGGGGGGTAACAAAAAGACAAATTTTACTAAGACGTACAAAGGTCAAGAATTTGTGGAGACCTTTGATCGCCCACTTCCTGAAGGGACACGTTACTGTTTAAAAAAATCATTTCACTCCAAGCAAGTTATTAGCGCCACAGGGACGGAAGGTGTTATACCATTAGAGAATATGGAAAACACCATTAAATAGAAGGACTATAAAAGCAAAATTAAAAAGACACGTTGACATCCGGGTCAGTGTGTCACTGCGTCACATTTTTCATCTTTACTCCAAGAGGCTTTGGCCATTTCCCATAATGGAATCAGGCAACACTGAATCAAATTAAATTTTGGTCTGATCCCACAATCCTCTAATTTTGGATTCCCAGGTTTTCATTACTGCGATTGTTTTCGGTTTCCGCTATCTGGGCTTCTATTGATAAAACAATTAAAGGGAAATAACTCTCTAATTTTCAATAGCTCATGTTCAAATGAAAACAAATACTGTTCTCAAATTAGTGTTTCAAGATAAAACTGTCCGTGTTTTCAACTTTAGAGGCCGTAGCCCAACATATAACGCCATTTTGGAATCAGGAAGACTCCGTGAGCAAATTAAAAGCATCCCGAGCCGGATACACACCCGCAATCCTGAAATTTTGCATTTCCAAGTTTCCATTATTGTTTTCGGTGATTTTTTTTACGAGATCTTTTTGCGACTAATTTTTTGTACGATAACAATTTTTATAACTTGAAAATAAATATGGGAATCATCGATATTAATTGGTAAATCCAGCGAAAGTCACCTATGAAATAAAAAAATAATTGTTTGTATAGAAAGTAAGGACCTACGTACATCAAACTGACATTAAATTAAGTGCCGACAGGAAGAATCGTCATTGAACTTAGGCAAGCTTAAATATTATTGCAATACTTAAATGCAGCGATCAATTTTGAGTTCTCATGTAGTTTACCGCATACGGCTGCAGTATGCCTCGCTAAAAGAAATCTCTGTCAACAGATGATCAGATAGCAATCAAAAGACTCAAAGCTGCGACAGGGAAAAGAAAGTACCGAGCAAATGAAAACCTTGATCAAACGGCAGACAGAAGAGTTTCGAATGCTGAGAATATGCAAAGACTTAGGAACTGAATAAGCCGAAGGCCCAATTAAGACCCCTCCGCAGGAGATAGCTTAAATGACGCCCGATAGGATGGCTTTTAAGCTAGTTATATATATATATATATATATATATATATATATATATATATATAAGTGCGCGGGTATGCAGAAAATAGAAAAGAAAACGTTGGTTGCATAATCCGGAGTTCCTTAGTATTTTTGTTTTTATTTTTAAGAAGACAGTGCTCCATACAGAAGTAGAGCTTTATTATAATAATATTTTTTTGTTTAAAAATATGATTCCATCGCTACATAAGAGCTCTCATGTTTCAAAAACGAGAGCCGAAACCATCCAAATAATTATTAAATTTAAGTTGAATTGAGGGGTTTAGTCCCGTTTCATCTTCAAGCGAAGACTTGTAGGCGCGCCATAAAAATATCCCTCACTGGGAACCAACTAAAGGATGACCGCAAACATTAGCCTTGAAATAGATACCCTACCCAACCTTAGCAAAACCTCTCAGAAGATGATGAATCTATTGATAAGAATTAACTCTCTGGACACTTAACGAAGAAAAATAGTCTAGCCACTCCCACAATAACGAATTTTGTAACGGACCGTGCCTAAAAACACACGTAAACCAAGAGATAGCTTATTCCTAAAATTTCGCTTGAAGATGAAACGGGACTCAACACCTTATTTCAACTTAATTTTAATAATTATTTGGATGATTTCGGCTCTCGTTTTTGAAACATGAGAACTCTTATGTAGCTTTGGAATCATATTTTTTAAAAAAAAAATATTATAATTATTATATATATATATATATATATATATATATATATATATATATATATATATATATTTCCTTTTATTTCTTTTAAAATTTGTACTGTACAAAAAAAAATTTTAGGAACATATCTCGTAAAACATTGCTTTAAACAATTGCAGTAATGAAAACTTGGGAATCCAAAATTTCAGGATTGAATGTCCGGATTCAACCTGGAATGTTTTTAATTTGTTCACTGAGTCAGCCTTATTCCAAAATATGATATGATATGTTGGGTTACGGCCTCTAGGAGGAAAGTTGAAAAACGTGTGACACACTGACATTCGCATTTATTCATAGAGATGATGTTGCCAAGATATTCTGGCGAACGGTATGCTTTATTTCCACGAACCCTGACATTCACAGCTAAGACCCACCATGTCATGTACACTGGGTAATTTCATCCCCACTTCCTCCAAATTCCTTAAGTAAATAGGAAATTCAATACGAACATCTCCCCAAAATTCGCTGCTTCGTGAAATGGACTCCCGTGAGGGTTCATCTATCACTACAAACTCAACGTCTTTAATACAAGGGTTGACAACCGTAATCTTTCTTCCATATCCTATTTCTTTGTACTTCTTACCTCTTCTTCTTACGAGTATCAAACTTCAATAAATAGACATCTACCTTGAGTGGTTCAAGAACATTGGATTAGCTGAACAATTTTTTATTATTTTTCATTCCTTTTTTTTTTTATTTTAAGCTTCATTCATTTTTTTTCCTCTGTGTATTTCATCCCTCGCTCTCTCTATTTCCGTTTCCGCTTTTAAATTTCTTCTTCATTTTTGCAATTCATTTAATTTCATTTTTTTTTTCATTCTTTTTCCTTTCTTCAAATATCAAATCAACGTATGTTTTCTTATTTCCTTTCCATCCCATTAACACCTCCTCTTTTTAATTCTTTCTTTTGCTTTCATTTTCTTCCTTTCTTTTTTTTACGCTATTTTCTTTCTTTCCTCCTTTTTTATTATCTTTCTTTCTTTCTTTCTTTCTTTCTGTATGCCATTTTCTTTTTTCCTTCTTTTTCATTTTCTTTCTTTGTTTTGCGTTTCTTTCTTTTTTTCTTAATGCCGTTATCTTTCCTTTCTTCTTTTTCATCTTCTTTTTTTATTTCATCTTACTATTTTCTCTCTTTCCGTCTTTTTTCTTTTTCTTTCTTTCCTCATGTAGTTTTCTTTCTTTTCCTTTTCTTTCTTTAATCCTTTCTTTAAGGCATTTTCTCTCTTTCTTTTTCTTTTTCATTTTCTTTTCATTTGCTTTCTTTCTGCAATTTTCTTTCTTTCCTTCTTTTTCATTTTCTTTCTTTCTTTCTTTCTTTCTTTCTTTCTTTATGCGATTTTGTTTTTTCATCTTTTCCGTTTCCTTCCTTTCTTTTTTCATTTCTTTCCTCCTTTCTTTTGTATAACCTTTCTTGGTTCCCTCTTTCCTTCCCGTCCTGGGTAAGACGATAAACTACATTCGGCAGCAAGGCCTCTGATCAGAAGGTTTTGAAGAACGTGGAACCACCTCTTAATTGCTGGTGTTCCCAGGTCCACCCTGACCCCGGGTGGTAGCACCAGTTAAGGTCCCAACTATCGGCAAATAGTTAACACTCAAATTGGAGTCAAAACACTATGAAAGTATAAAAATAGGTTTTAATATCAACAAGAATTATTTTGAAGGAAAAATTATTACCAACAATACATTATTATCAGCAGTACATTTTTGAACGAAAAAAAATATTACCAGCAATAGAGTTTTGAAGGAAAAAAAAACAAATTACTAGCAATACATTTTTGGAAAAAATATAACCAGAAATAAAAATGTTGTCGGCATAAATAACCAATTGAGGTTGATACGCCGTAAGCCAAACCAAACCAAACCAAATCAAACCAAACCAAACCAAACAAAATCAAACCAAACCAAACCAAACCAAATCAAACCAAACCAAATCAAACCAAACCAAATCAAACCAAACCAAACCAAATCAAACCAAACCAAATCAAACCAAGCCTTTTTCCTTCTTTCTTTTATTTTTTGGCTTCGTTTTATTTTTATTTTTTTTCACATGAGCTGTATTATTCCATATTATTTACTTTGTATTTAATTTCTATAAATTCTTTTCCTTTCCTCTCATTATCGTCTGTTTTCTTCCTTAGTTTTCTTCTCCGTCATTTCTTGCAGTATCTTTCTACATACGGGCTTTTCATTCTTTAATTTTCTTTTTATGTAAAGAAAGAAAATGAGAAGAATATAGTCAGCTAGAGAATGTATGTAAGAGAAAGAAAGAAATTAAGAAAGAAAACTAGAAAGATTTTGATATTGAAAGGCCTCCATATTGAAACAACGAAAGGATTGATAGATTTTTAGTTTTCTCTTTTTCGTTTTTCTTTCGTTGTTTTTTTTCTTTCATTTGCATAAAGTCCCCAGATTTCTTTTCACTTTCATTCTTTCTTTCTGTGGTCTGTTGTTTTCTTTCGTTTTTATTTTTTTTAACATTCTTTCCTCTTCTTTTTGTCTCTACGTCTTTCGGCTTCCCAAATCTCCACTTCCTCCCCACATTCTGATGTTTCCCGCCTGCAAATGCTTCACTGATTGTCCTCTTTAGCCGGCGCCATTTCAATCGATAGCATCAAAAGACTGGCCCCAAACCTGGATAAACTATGAGCCTCACCAGTCTACCCTGGCAACACACCAAACTGCAGAGGGGCAGTGGAGAATAATCAGAGCTAGGCTAGGTAGAACTGTATATTAATGCAAAAATATATTTCTACCTTTGGGATGCTGTACAGTTGTCTTTACGCAATTAGTACATTCATATACTTGTAAAATATGCTTTCCAGAAAAAAGGGTAGAGTGGGATATTTGTCTGCACATGCGTACAAATAGGCTGTGCCACATAAATTTACATAGATATAAATAATTATCTGTCTATATTTCTGAGATGAGGTATTATGTACACTATTTACATTATTCGGACTATTGTCCTCATCTTTGTCGCCATATTTATTACAACGTTTCGGCCTTTCAGTATCTGTCTATATTTCTGAGATGAGGTATTATGTACACTATTTACATTATTCGGACTATTGTCCTCATCTTTATCGCCATATTTATTACAACGTTTCGGCCCTTCAGTATCTGTCTATATTTCTGAGATGAGGTATTATGTACACTATTTACGGACTATTCTGCCATATTTATTACTCTTGTCCTTTCATCTTTGTCTATATTTGATATTTATGTACAATTTACAACTTACTATTATCATCTTTGTCCCAAATTTACACACGGTCACACACCACCCATTCCTGAGGTACTGTAGATTAGGGTACCTAATTGACAATATCACGTCTCCCTTTTTTCGGTGATGTTGGACAGAAACGCAACTGGATCTGTTTCTCAACAGCTCGTTTAAAGATCGCATTCATAGAACAGCGGAACGAGTGGATGGTTAACGGGGAAAAGTCATTCAGTCTACCGTAACAGCCTACCGAAAACATACCACTCATTCCTGAGGTACTGTAGATTGGGGTAATTATATAATAATAATAATAATAATAATAATAATAAAAATAATAATAATAAACTTATTTTAATTCTTCTTATCGTTCACTTAACACGACCGTTACGCCCTATCAAGATCTCAAATAATGGATTATTCCGCTTTTATTGCGAGAAAAGACACCCTATAGACGTTACTTGGTTTTAGTGAGAAAAAGAAGGAAAAAAAAGGAAAAGATAAAGGTATGTAATGTCTTCTGCTAATACGATCATAAATAATGTGGAAAAACAGAAAAGACATAACAGAAACGCTACTTTCTGTGAAAAAAAAGAAAAAAAGAAAGAAAGAAAGAAAGAAAGAAGGGAAGATCCATTTAAAGTCTCATGTCGATATCTCATAAATAATAGACTCTTCAGTTTTGATCGCCTGGAAAGATAAAAAAGACATATCAGTGACGCTGCTTGGATTCAGTGAGAAAAAACATAAAAGACATATCAAAAAGAAGGGAAAAAAAGGAAAGAAAGAAGAAAGAAAGGAAGATACATTTAACGTCTCCTGCCAATACCCCCATAAATAATGGACTGTTTGGTTTTGATCGCATGGAAACATAAAAAAGACATATCAGTGACGCTGCTTGGTTTCAGTGAGAAAAAAGAAAGAAAGAAAGAAAGGGAAGAAAGAAAGAAGGAAGATACATTTAACGTCTCCTGCCAATACCCCATAAATAATGGACTGTTTGGGACTTTTTGGTTTGATCGCATGGAAACATAAAAAAAGACATATCAGTGACGCTGCTTGGTTTCAGTGAGAAAAAGAAAGAAGGAAAGAAAGCAGGGAAGAAAGAAAGAAGGGAAGATACATTTAACGTCTCCTGCCAATACCCCATAAATAATGGACTTTTTGGTTTTGATCGCATGGAAACATAAAAAAGACATATCAGTGACGCTGCTTGGTTTCAGTGAGAAAAGAAAGAAGGAAAAGAAAGCAGGAAGAAAGAAAGAAGGGAAGATACATTTAACGTCTCCTGCCAATACCCCATAAAATAATGGACTGTTTGGTTTTGATCGCATGGAAACATAAAAAAGACATATCAGTGACGCTGCTTGGTTTCAGTGAGAAAAAGAAAGAAGGAAAGAAAGCAGGGAAGAAAGAAAGAAGGGAAGATACATTTAACGTCTCCTGCCAATACCCCATAAATAATGGACTGTTTGGTTTTGATCGCATGGAAACATAAAAAAAGACATATCAGTGACGCTGCTTGGTTTCAGTGAGAAAAACAAAGAAGGAAAGAAAGCAGGGAAGAAAGAAAGAAGGGAAGATACATTTAACGTCTCCTGCCAATACCCCATAAATAATGGACTGTTTGGTTTTGATCGCATGGAAACATAAAAAAGACATATCAGTGACGCTGCTTGGTTTCAGTGAGAAAAAGGAAGAAGGAAAGAAAGCAGGGAAGAAAGAAAGAAGGGAAGATACATTTAACGTCTCCTGCCAATACCCCATAAATAATGGACTGTTTGGTTTTGATCGCATGGAAACATAAAAAAGACATATCAGTGACGCTGCTTGGTTTCAGTGAGAAAAAGAAAGAAAAAAGGGAAGAAAGAAAGAAAAGAAGGTATTTAATGTCTCCCATGGAATACCCCTTGGTTTCATAAATAATGGATTGTTCGCTTTTGACCGCATGAACACAAACACATCTGGATGTGTTTCGCAACAAGCCGTTTAAAGAGCATATTCGAGAACAGTGTAACGAGTGGATGGTTAGCGGGGAAAAGACATCCAGGATACAATAATAGTCTACCGAAAACACAACACCCTCTTATGAATCATTTTAGGTTGCGGTTATTAACTGACAATATCTCCTCATGACTTTTTTTTTTTTTTTTTTTTTTTTTTTAGAATTTTAATGCAGAGAAAGAATATGCTTACTGAATTTATTTGATAAATTTAATGCATTTTAAAATACGATTAAGGGTCGGTCGACTTGTACGGCGACATTTTAAGTTGAAAATTTGGGGGGGGTCGTCTTATACGCTCAGTCGCCTTATACGCCAAACGTATACGGTAGGTTAAGTCGGCAACGAAGAGGAAGAGTTTGTTACGCTAGTCTACTAAGTGAAAAAAAAATGGTCTTTTTTTTTTTTTTTTTTTTTTAATTGCTATTCGTACTTCTGGGCGCGAATACTGACTACTTGTGTTGTTGTGGAAAAAATGAAAAAAAAAAAAATAAAACAAAAAAAAGAAGCAAAACAAGACAAAAGTCATTAGGCGAATCGGCATTGTGTAATGGTTAACGAGCTAGTTTGAATGACCATTACTGCCGAGAAAAAAACCAAATCAACGGCTGTTTGTGATGCGTTTAGTGTGGTAGTCTGTAGTGGTAGTGCTTGTCGCTTCTCGCTTTCAGTTACCGCCGCTGGCTAGCAGCAATGAGAAAAGGGGAGTCGAGTACGTAAGTCTTCCCTTGCCAGTATATAGCCTCTCCATCAACAAGCCCTATGTAGTGCCTCTTCGTGGTGACACACGACAAACGAGCACCTTACGAGAAAATGAGTTCGATTTTCACTGGATGTCATGTACTCATGGTCTTGTGCCAAATTAAGCTAATACTTAGTAAATAATAACAGATAGGTTTGAGGTAATGGTTAACAAGTTTGTACCAATAATATATAATGGCATGAGAAATATGCAGATAAATAATATTTTTTTTAATTAATCAGTTAACTCTCAAGCAAGGCGATAATGTCACTAAGACGCAAGCGGCTACTGGGTGTGAAAGGGAAAGAAAACAAAGAATACGGAATAAACCTTTAGATGTGTTCAAAAGACCAGAGAAGGGTGTGATGTGGACGATAGTCTAAGCTACCGACACTCGTTGAGGAAAAAAAGAAATCTTACTTATTATAAAACGCAGACTGTGTGTGTGTGTGTGTTCGTTTATATATGGGATCGGATTTCCTACATTTTTCAACCGATTTCAACAAAACTTCACTTTTTTTTTGGCAGGTAGTGTTTCTTATTGTCTTGCACACTTTTTTCTTTATTTTTTACATTCAGAATGCTTTAAAAATTCCATTCACAAGACAATTGTTTATAATAAAATTCTATTCAATCGATAGACTCATAATGATTGAAAACAATGGTTTTTTTTTTGAGTTTACCAATTCGTAAAAAATAAAAAAATAATAATTAAGACATGCGTGTCCGTCAACCTTAAACAATAATCTTTGTCAATTTTATTTTTCAGTCTTTATGATGGTCGATACTTGATCTATCTCTTATTGTTACATCCCCGGGCAACGCCGGGCTCTATTGCTAGTAATAAATAAAATTTTAAAGTTTAGACGGTGACGTGAGAAGTATGGACCTGAAGTAGACTTTAAAAGTAACCGGAAACACAATCCTCAACAGGAAACTAGTAATAAACGTTTACTTCTGTTCAAAAAACCGGGGAGGGGTGTGAACGGGGCGATAGGTTAACCTATCTACTCCTATTGAAAAAAAGATCGTAAATAAAATTTCAGTGTTTAGGCGGAGAGATTTGAAGTACAGAGTTGTAGTTAACTTTAAAAGAAACCGGAAATCCAATTCCTAACCCGGAAGCAGTCCTGTTCAAAGGTCCCGAAAGAGTGTGAAGCGGATGAGAGGTGAAACTCATTACCTGGATTGAATGTTACTGGAACTTCATCCATTTCCCCTATTATTACTTTTTTTAAAAAAATAATTTCACGTATAACAAAGCAATAAAGCCATTAAGACGCAAGGGACAGTTTGCGTGAGTTTGAAAGAATTTGAGGAAAAGAGAAACATTATTAAGGAGAGAAAAAGAACAGGACTTAGGAAGACAGAAAATAACGATTGACATCGCGTTTACTTTTATGAAAATCAAATTTGGCTGGAAAGCAAGAAGCCGTAAGAGAATTAAACAAGTGAGAAGTGCGAGAGAAGAAACTGTTAGCATAGAACTTACGGTTACAGCTAACCATTTCAACTGTGAAATGATTATACTTTGGTGACACTCTAGCAAGGTGCTTAAAGTTATAAAAGTCTTCGTACCAAAGTAGAAAGTTCATCAGAACAATCAACATGAAAATATTTAT